TTTGGCTGGATTTTTTTTTTTTTTTTAATCTGCACAGCCAAACCACAAATGTTAGAAAAGAAAATGATGATTCGAGCTAAGCTTTTTTTCTATTTTTTCCTTTTATTTGTTTCTTTTGTTTTGTTTTGTTTTTTCTTCTTCTTTTTTGTAATTATTGCTTACATTTGGATCTGCTTCAGAACAAAAATGGTGCTGTTTCAACACAAAAAAGCCAAACCATAGCATTTAGAAAATGCTGAGATAGCACATTCACTTTGCCTGCTGTTGGGTTTTTGCCCCCTCAGATTGCTCCCCAGTGATTTTCCCAGACGCAGCGGTTCAGCAAACTTTCCCCAAACCCCAATGTCTTGGGGGGCAGATGGGATTTGCCCTCCTCTGGTGGCTGCGGGGGTCTTGCCCAGAAGGGTGCCCAGGGGAGGAGGGAGCCGCGGTGGGCGATGGCATCCCCCAGCTCAGGGGTCCAGGCTGGGGACGTGCCAGTCCTGGGAGGGCTCCCCTTGGTCACAGCCACGGCGGGGTGCTGGGGGCACAGGAGGGAGCATCTTTGTGTAGGTCTCACGTGTATTTTTAAGGTAATTGGAGCCGGCCATCGGAGTCCAGATGCTTAAATCAGCGGGTAGGGGCTGATGTGGGCGCCGCTCCTGAGGCTGCCCAAAATTCATGTGTAATCTTGGAGTCTGGGTGCTCTTCCCAGAAAATGCCTGTGAACATTTACACTGATATAAACCCAGTGCGAGTGTGTTCGGTCCCCTCCTCTGATCCAGGGACAGACTGCAATATGGGACCCGACTTTCCCGGCTGGGACATTCAGGGAAATGCCTGGTGTCAGAAGAAATACCGATGGCCAGGGGGGTGTGATGACAGACATTGCAAACCAGAGCGATGCTCGCCCTGCCAGGGGACAGAAACCTGTTCGGATAGGAACAAACCGGATGATGCCTGCCTAGGCAAAGCTAAGCAACCCAGATATAGATCCAAATTTCATATAGGGATAGCTAAATAAGCAAAATGAAGTACAGAGGGATTTGGTTGTTATTCAGCATATAACTAGAACAAAGAAAAACGGGCAAGAGCTCCCATCTGCAGCATCAAATACATTACTGGCCAGGCTTTCAAACCAACAGACTATTGCGACCCACGTCCTTCTGTGAGTCTCCTCTTCATCTCGCCTCTGCCCGTGCTTAATCCTGCTGCTCACGGTTAGCCGCACAAGGGCCTGCTCCAGCTCCCATGGGCCACATTGGCAGCCCCCACGCTGGCTTCAGTTGCAGCAAACCCAAGCTGTAATAGCCTTGACCACGGGCTTCAGGAGGTGAGCCTTGAGGAAATAACAGCACAGAGACAAAAACCTCTGGCAATAGAATAGAAAACTCGATGTTTGTTGACATAGCTGCAGTATTTGCTTTGTAGCAGAAATGCAAATTAACCACTCACGGTTCTCCCTGTGATGTCCCAGTGAACGCGCTGCTGCAGGAACATCTTGTGGCCTAGGGCTTGGAAACTAGGTGGTGAAAAGGGACAGGGCGCTTAGGTAGTTATTAAGGAGACGTGTCCACCTTGGGTGACGGGGACGCTCTAGATGGGAACCCCCCAGCAAACCTGGCTGGAACAATATAAGGAGCTGCCCCAGCAAGACTCCTTGGCAGTGTCCTGCCATGGCTCTTGTATGTTACTTAAACCTAAGAGACATTTGTTCTGCTGCAAGAGAAGCTTGCATGTAAATAAAAAAAGGCATTAATTAGCTGTTTCCCACAAAGTGGTTTCATCAAAGGCACCAAAATAGTAACTAGTGCCTCAGTATTAAGTGAACCCATTAAAGTTAATTGAGCAATGAGTAAAGCAGCTTAATGCCCTCCTCCTGATGTGTCTGGCTTTTCATATTCATGGCACCATGTAATCTTTGGGCTGGTGGTTTTGGTCCACATCCAAGCTGCTTCCCCACTTACCTGGCTTGGTGCCTCAGCTCCCCATCTCCTTGACCTTCGAGGAAGCCTGTCCTACTGCGTTCCTGGGCAAATTGTCCCTTTTCCTTTCACCCCATGAGGACTACTAGATGCTTACACCAGGCGAGGTAAAGCAATAGGAGCAGCAGAGATAGCGTAATGAATACAAACACCTCAGTGTCCGATCTCCCACCACCTCCAAGGCACAACAGTCCTTTTGCTCCTAGACAGGAGAAATCCAAGTACCAATTAATAGTTGGTTGGAGCTGTTGCAGAGGTGACACATCTAGCAAGATGTAGGCTTTAGTAGCAGGCTGCAACCAACTCCCTGGCCAAGGAGGTGTCCTCTCGTGGCGGGAGAGCAGCTCTGGCCAGTTTTTGGGTACCTGCACCAGGGATGCTGAAGGCAGTGGCGGGGCAAAGGCAGCTGTGATGGCCTGAGGGATGGTGGGGTTGGTGGGCTGAAGGATGGGGGGGCTGATGGTGCAGGGGCAGATCTAGTGGAAGTACTGCAGCCCTATGCACAGCAAAGAGTGCATACAGAGAAAATCATGCTTTAGGGTGTTTAAGCCAGGAGGCTGTGCTGTGAAGAGAGAGAGAGAGAGAGGGCATGTTTCTGAGGAGTTTAAAAAAACAATAAATCCTATTCAGCAGCAGCTTTAAGTTCCCCACAAAATACTCATGTGCAGCACGACTGCTGCTCAGGAAGGGCAGCATCATGTGGTGCCCTCCTGCATTTTGGGAGCTTGACCCCAGTGCAGCACCACCCCAGGCGAGTGCCCTACATAGGGGCTCCAAAGACAAGGCTGCACCTTGCGATGCTCATGCGTGTGACCCCGACCCCAGCATTGCAGCAGCAGCCCAAGGGGACACCACTGCCCCACGAAGCCCCACAGGGTGTGAAGCCCCACGGGGTGCAAAGCCCCGAAGCCCAAACTGGGAAAACTGGGTTGCTGGTGGAACCAGGCTAGCGAGCAAACGCTCACTCTGATGGATGTGCAAGGGGACAGGCATCGACTTTGCAGATCCCTTTTGTCTGTCTTTCTCTAAGGGCAGAGAAACAGGGAGTTTTGATGATCGGAACAGCTTTGGCTGCCTCCCTGGGGGACGCAGCCAATGTTTATGCTCCTCCCTTGGTTCCTCCGACAGATGGTGTGAGCCTCAAAATGATTGAAGACCTGAAGGCCATGATTGACAACATCTCTCAGGAGGTTGCTTTACTGAAGGAAAAGCAAGCACTCCAGACAGGTAAAGGACTCGCTGAAGAAGGCATGGCTTTTGCTTTGAGAGAGGAGCTGCTTATAAGGCGGCTATAATTGCTCCACACGCTTTAACAAGAGATGCCCAAGTGCCCTGCTACGAGGAGTCCATCACAGGGAGAGAGGTTCGGGGATCAAAGCAAAGTGTGGGCTTGCTGCAATTCCTTCAGGCAGATGAAGGTCCTCAAGCCGTTAATGACGTGAGTTGTGCAGCGTATGGCCCCCCTGTTTATGTGCTAGAGCTTCCCATTTGTAAAGCTGTGGATATTTCTATGACACTAAGCCAGATGTTCATTTTCCTTTATGAATCAGAGGGATGGGTAATGGATTATTCTGTACTTCAGTCAAATGTAGCTTGCTCTTTTGTCTGAACTCCAGTGAAATGGTGACCTGGTCTCGTATACATACCATGGTATTGCCCAGGGAACCTCATGGAGGTCAGTCCCACCATGCTTCATTGGACACGTACAGAGGACAGTCCTAAAATGTCCATCTTCCAGCCATGCTCCACGGTTATTCTGTGCAAACTCCACCGACATCGGTAGGAGAGGGATTTGCAGAACACGAAACAGAAATGAGATGAAAATGCAAGTTAAGGAGAATTTTCTCCTTAAAAGAAAAGGAACACAAGCAAAATCAAGGCTTTAGTTCCAAGCTCACATTCATTGGTTTGGATATTAATGCATGGCTCTGATTAGTTATTGTTTTGCTACAGTACCCTGCACTCTCAGGGTTTAGAGCTTAAAAAAAAATAAAATAAATTGCTATTCTTAACAATAAAATCAGAGGCAAGTAGAAATTTCCTCTGAAGACCTCAAGCTATGCAAGCACAACACTTCTGATCAAAGCCTATTAAAAAAGACATTTTTCTCATGCCTGCATAATTAAGATGATTGAATTGAAATTGCAGACTTTTTTCCAAAACACTCCAACGCCCGGCAGCGCCCATCACAAACCTTACCTCCAACAAACTCATCAGAGAAAGCATAGCAGCAGCTGGGGAAGAGCGAGGCCAGGGGCAGGGGTAGGAGGACCACACTGTGCCTCTGCTCCAGCAGCGGCAGAGCCCAGGAGGGTGACGGGGCACCCCGAGGTCCATTTTTCCTGATGGTTTGCAGACAGGGAGGGCACATCCCCGCAGCCATTCCCTGCGTAGGAGGGAGAGGGCCCCTGGGACTCCCGTGCTGCCGAGGGTTGCTGCGCAGCCTAAGAAATGAAGTTTGTAGTTTGGCTGCTGCGTTTGCTGCTGCTGCCTCTTCCTGGGCGCTGTTTTTAAAACCAATTCCCTTTCTGTCTTTTTGTTCTGTTCGTGTGGCAACCTCTCAGTTTGCCTGAAAGGCACCAAAATTCACCTAAAATGCTTTCTTGCGTTTTCGGAGACCAAGACGTACCACGAGGCCAGCGAAAACTGCATCTCGCAGGGCGGCACGCTCAGCACCCCCCAGACCGGGGAGGAGAACGATGCCCTCTACGACTACATGCGCAAGAGCATCGGCTCTGAGGCAGAGATCTGGCTGGGCCTCAACGACATGGCGGTGGAGGGCAAGTGGGTCGACATGACGGGCGGCCCCGTCCGCTACAAGAACTGGGAGACTGAAATCACCACCCAGCCCGACGGCGGCAAGCTGGAAAACTGCGCAGCCTTGTCGGGGGCCGCCATCGGCAAGTGGTTCGACAAGAGGTGCAAAGACCAGCTGCCCTACGTCTGCCAGTTCATGATCGTGTAGCGGTGGGGGCTCCCCCCTGCCCACCCGCAAACCCGGGTCTTCCCCCTTTGGCAGCAGGATTATAAAGCTATAGGTATGTGTACGTGTACATGTACGTATGCACGCACACGCACACATGTTCAAGTAGAGTCACTCTTTGCAAAGGAAGTCGTCACAGCTCGGTATCGGATTAGAGAGCGTTAGAGCATTTCGTTTGGCCGCATCCAGCCCCATTAGCAGCTGCATCGTTCTTACTAAGGCACGATTTATAGATATATTTTTTTACACAGGGAATTTATTAGGACAGCTTGGTTGTTTCGGCAAAGAACCAGTGCAGCAGTCCAGCCTTGCAAACAGCTGCCTCGACTGCCCAGGGCTGTTGCTCTGCAATGTCCTTTCCCATCTTGCTGAGCTTCACTGGGACACCAGCAAAGCTAGTTCCTGCTTTCTTCTCCTGTTTTGCTTCCCCATAAGCCCTGGCAGCAAGGCGCATGGGATTGAGATCCTCGTCCCTCACAGCACCCCGATTCAGGCTCCTGGGGATCAAGGTCCTGTCTCAACGAGCAGAGGGAGTTACCTCTGCTTTGCGTTGAGAGATACAATTGGGCTTATTGGCTGAGTACCAGCTGCTCAACGCGTTGTTCAACTCATCCAACTATGTGCATGAATGAATTAGCAAGTAACAGGCATGGGTCAACTTACTGAGAAGGAGGGGGTCCTTTCCAGAAGCATTTCCCATTTTGTTGGTCCTTTTCTCATCAGTCAGAAGCCAACGTTTCCCTGATTTCAGTAGGAGAGCTAGACCCACTGCCAGGTCTTTTAAAAAATCCCGTCAGAAGCTTTATTTATTCTTCAGCATCACGGAGGAAGCAGTGATGACTTACAGCATAGTCAGTCAAATATATTCTTGGAAAGAGAAAATGAAAGTATTAGGTAAATAACAGAAATGTAATGCTATTAGGGAATATGCTGCCTTATAAAAAACAACTGTCTATTGAAAATGAGTCCCAGGACAACTCACTTTAGCAGCTTTAGGAATCATCTGACCTATTTTAGTGATGGAAACCCAGCTGAAATACTCCAGTCTTTGCTGGTCTGGGCACAGTCCTCAGCAAACATAAATCTGCTGAGTACTGTTTGTGCCAATAAAGTCATGCCCAGCTGAAGGTCTGGCCTTAGTATTTTTTTGCTGAGAAAAGGGTTAAAGAAAAAAAAATAAATTGAAATAAACAGCAATGGTGGGAAAGAAGCACAGGTCACCTCGACAGCTTAACGAAGCTTTGCTGACACTGATTTGCTGGCTGTTGGCTGAAAGATATCAGCAGTTCTTTGCAGCTCAGTGCTTGGTAATAACCCCTCCAGTTCGGGTCACATCCCCTGCGCTGCCAGCTTGAGGGTGTCAAGACGTGATGCTCTTGGGGAGTCCACAGGAGAGGTGTTTCAATTTACTGCTTTGTTTGAAAGCAGCACGATGGTGGGTATTCCAAGACGTCGAGTGGGAGAGCCAAGCTGGAGGGATTGAAACACACACACACACACACAAATGCAGAGCGCGCACTTCCGAGGCTGTCACTATTGCCAAACTCTCCGCTGTTCAAATGACTATAAAATAAAGATATATATATATAGCTTGCTGAAGGAATGGAGTTGCGTCAATGTGATTGGAGTGCTTTCTTCTCCTTCCATTTCTCTTCAGAGCAGCTCCAGGGACCTGTCAGAGGGTCGGAGATATCAAAGGCAGAGGGGAAAAGCAAAAAGCAAGAGCTTCCCGCCCTGGGATATGGTTTATAGGATTTCCACCCTCCCTCTTATCATCCCAGTCACATGCCACACGCGGGATACAGGCAGGGAATCCTTTTATAGGCAAATAAGATTTCCTTCCTCCCCTCCTCTTGCTGCTGGGAAATGTCGCTCCAAAATATGAGCCAACCCAGAAGAAAGGTCCTTTTCTCACCCCTGTTTGGCAGTGGTAGCGGTGCCAGGGGAGGTGGCACCTCAGGTCCCAGCATGGAGCCAGCACTTCCCAGGCTACCTCCCACCTCCTCTGCAACGAGCAGAGCTGTAGCAGCACTGAGCATGCCTCTCCTTCCCTCACTGAGGTGGTGACGACTTCTCCCTCCTCATCCTCCTCCTCAGCATCCCACAAAGGAGAGAAGACCATACATGAAGAAGACAGTGCTCCGCACCAGTCTGGGAGGTTTCAACTGCTGCAGAACTGCAAGTGAAATGAGGTCTCTTCTGCACAAGAGGACAGCCCTTTGCAGACTCTGGGCCCTGATCCTGAATATTTCCAAGGCTCTTTGCTGTAGGTCATGGTTACACCCTACAAGCCAGCTTGTTGCAATATAAACCCTCTAGTTCCCTTGGCAGGCGATCCCTCCATGTTTTGAGATACACATGAATGCAAAGCAGCAAAGCTGGCAGCATTGCTGGCTTTGATCCTGACTTGTCATAAACCACAAGGTCTTAAAACACAAATGTGTGGTCAGAGAAATAAACAGGGGGGCTTTTATGGGAGCTCAGGAACTAAAGAGGGACACTGCAAAAGCCACAGACTGTGGCGATGCTGAGCTTTGGGGAAGATGCGGGTGCTGTAGCTGGACCATCTCTTTGCATGGAGTGCAAATCTGAAAAGCCACGGAGATCGATGCCAAAGGATATTCCCAGAGAGGACATTAAAGAGTCAATCTGCCAAAATCTGGAGAATAACAAGTTGCTCTCAGCAGATTTCTTGCTTGTATCTCTCTTGCTCTCTATTTTCACATAGCTACGCTCCTGCCAACACCATTCTTCATAGATGTTTTGCTCTTCTGAAGCTGGGAGGAGTGCAGGGAAGGGGTGGCTTTGCTCCTGCCCTATTTGTTGGACCCAGGATGCCAAAACTGACCTTGCAGCTTCAGGGTTGCATTTATGAGTTTAATATTCTTCTACATGTTCTTTCTTACTGAATATTATGAATTACAAATTTTCTTTTAAAAGCCAAAGAAAAAGAAGTTCTGGAAGGGTCCTCATCCTTGCTTACCACAGCACTCTTTTTTATTTGTTTGTGGCTAACGCCATGTTTTGTGCTTGCTCACAGTGAATGCCGGGGTGGAGGGGTGGAGCATGGCCCGATGGGAACTGCCTGGAGCAGATGGGGTCCATCTGCTGGGGGCTGGGATAAGCATCACTTTTTTGATCTTCCATTAAATATTTTTGGCACTCAAGCCAGAGAAGAACATCTGCTGTCCACAAAGTGCAGTCTCAACCAAAGGCATGCAGACTAATGGAAAGAAACCTCAGCTCTTCCCCAATAAAAAGAAATGTGGAAGTGATCATGTCTGAACCAACGTATTGCAACACCTGCAATCTCAATTGAATGCCGTGTTATTAAAATAGGAGATGTTGTGTAAGATCTTGTGCCACTGATCGTGCTGCTCAGCTGCCTGTGGCTCTGTAACACAGCAGAGGAAAGATGAAATATGAAATGTCCATATATTTATATAAACAAAAGAAGAAAAGTTACTGGGTGAGCCCACAGAAAGCGTTACCCCAGCACTACACCATCCACAGCTGACTTCAGTAGAGCTACGCTAATCTACCCAACTGATTGCCCTGACCCCAATTCACCAAGGTCCTGAAGTACAGGCAAAGGACCAAATGGTTAAAAGTAAAATGGTTAACCGTAAAATGGTTAATACCTTTCTGAAGTATCCCTCTGAGCAAGGGCCAGAACAGCACACATCAGCGCCCCGGCCAGCAGCCAGCTTGCTTTTGGTTTCGGTCAGTAAAAGGGGCAGGTAGGCAAAGGTGGGTAAGAATTTGGGAGTCACAAGCCAAAAGCTTGTTTTGAGCCTTGAACACTTTTGTGGGACTCAATCCTTAGCAGCCCTGGGTAAATTCAGATCAAGAAAGTTTGGTGATGTGGGAAAAGGACCCCAAGCAGAGAGAGGGAGAAAATTCACACTCGGAACAAGCAACCAAACCCCACGCCTCTGCTCCTTGCATCTGTCTGCTCAGCCTGGGGGTTGCTCAGACCCGAGTCTCTCACCCTGTCAGATGTAGTCTCTCCCCATCATCTTTTGCAAGGAACAGCTCCCAAACACTTCCACTCCTACCTACCCCAAGGGGAACCTCTGGCTGTGGGATGAGACCATCAGTAGGATGCACCTCAAAAGGGAAGGAGCACCTCCACCCCTGCACCACTGAGCCTTGTTATTCCTCTAGGCTTTACTGTTTGGTCCCACTCCTACGTAAGTGCTGAACCCCACTTCAGTACCTGACCTCTCAGTCTCTCCTTTTGCAAATAAAATAAAGAACTAAATTAAAGTTACATTTCTCCAGCTCAGAAGCCGCCATAGGCAGGGAAGAAACACAGATCTGTGAAGATCAGCAAATAAGGGAAAGCCAAACGACCACTGGGAGCATAAGTATAAACAGTTGGGGGTCACTACACTGATGGAGAGCATAAGAATAATCTCCTTGGGGGCAGAAGATAAAGCAGGGGATGAGAGAATACCAGACTATGGTGTACAGAGAGAAAAAATAGTCCTTTATTCCCTAACAACATCCGAAAGTATCTCCAGTTTAGAAGTACCCGGAGGGAATCCAAAGGTAACAGCTGAGGATTGTTGCCAATACAGCTTAAAACAAAATCACAAACATCTTAGCTGTAACTCACACCCAGCAGCCTCGTCACACTGTCCTGCTCTGCGCAAACAGGTCGGTGGTTGCCTCACCTCCCTGCAACCTCCCGCACACACGCTCATGATAGAGGCTCGGGCCATCAGGTGGTGATCGTAAGGCACCCAGCACCTGCAGCCTGGGTGCTCACTAACCAGCGCTGTACCCTCAACGTCCAGCCTCAGCCCAGGAAGGAGACAAAACCCTATAGATGACCGCGCTGCCAAGAGGTGAGGCCAACTGCTAATCGCAGAAAATATTTGCTTTCGCTTCAGCCCTGTTAGAAAGCTAACCCTGAGCCCGTTGAAGAGACCAAAACACACAAGCCGCTTGCCCACCTTGCAGGCCGGCAATGAAGAACACGTCTCAAGAAGCTATGTTTAGAAAACACTGTTTGGAAAGCACTACATCTTATGAAAGAAAATGCAAGAGGAGAAATAAAACCTACACCACCTACTGCTTTGCAGAAATATCCCGGGGCCTGCTTAGTTTCCCACTGCGGTAACAGGAATGCTTCCTATTTCTATCACACCCATCAACAGGGATCCCAAAAGCAAGGTCTCTGGCATTCAATATTGTACCCTGTTTCTGTGTTTCTCAGGACTGGTGAGGCCACATCTGGAGTGCCAGGTCCAGTTTTGGGCTCCCCAGTATAAGGCGGGACATAGACTTACTGGAGCAAGCACAGTGAAGGGCCACAAAGATGATGAAGGGATTGGGGCAGCTGTTGTGTGAGAGCGGGGACTACTCAGCCTGGAGAAGAGAAGGCTCAGGGGGTCTTATCCACATGTTTAAATGCCTGATGGGGACAGGTAGAGAAGACAGAGCCATGGGCACAAACTGAAATACAGGAAATCCTGCTTAAACAAAAGAGAAACCTTTTTCTCAATGAGGGTGGTCAGACCCTGGCACAGGTTGCCCAGAGAGGCTGTGGAGTCTCCATCCTTGGAGATACTGAAATCCTGATCGGACACAGCCCTGGACAACCTGCTCCAGGAGACCTTGCTCTGAGCAGGAGGTGGGACCAGGTGATCTCCAGAGGTCCCTGCCAACCTCAACTAGTCTGTGCAGACACGGCGACTGAGCAAGGGATCCTACCTATGTAACTGAGTCCTCTTCTACAGTCACGGGGAGAAACGGGCATTTCAGGGGGAGACTGATGACCTCAGGCACCTGGTGGATGAGCTGTCATGTAAAAGCCTTCCTACAGCGAAAGCTTATCAAGAAAGCTGATAAAAAATCTCTTGTGGGATGTGATTTCTACACTGTAATGTTGCCAGAGCTCTAGCTACTAGGTCTTGCTGCTCTGCCAAGTGTGATCAGGAGACAAGAGCTGAAACTTCATATAGCTATTCAACTGAAAGGGAACTGAAAAAAACTCCACCAAAGCACCACAAAGTAAATGAGATGTATTTTTATATTAAATGATCAGTCCAAACACACAATTCACGAATGGATCCACGCAATTGTGAATCAGCTCAACCACAGTGACAGATTTGCTTTGCTGTTACAGAGCAGGATCGTCCATGGGCAGCTGGATTCATGTGCAACCTCGACACTGCTCCATCGCTGGGAAGGCTTGGATCCAACCCAAACCCCCCGAGCAGCAAGACACACTGACGTGGGGGATCCAAACCCCGGGAGATGGGAGATGCCACAGGTCCCACCTGCCTGTGCACCAGCGCAGAGGTGCTGCAGCACATATCCGTGGAGGATGGCTCTTGCGCTTTGTTCTATAATATGTCAGAGCAGAAAGCCAAACCCTCAAGCAGGTAGACCTTAAACCAGTCAATTTTTAGGAAATGCTCCAGAAACAGCACTGGTTATAAACATGGTTAAACAATTGGCTCCATTGAAGAGCGAGGACTTGGAAGGAACTGTGTGAATGAGGGGCTATGTACCTACAGTGAGTGAGTTTTCTACACAGCCTAGAAGCTTGTCGTGGTTTAACCTCAGTCGGCAACTGAGCACCACACAG